ATCATCTTTTCCCTCTTGCTCTTCTTCATTTTCATCTACTTCCTCCTCCTGTCATCATCTTGCTTTTCTTTTTAATCTTTCTCTGTTGCTTTTTCATTGTCTTCATCTTTTTGATTCTTCTTCCTCATCTTCATCTACTTCCTGTACCTCTTCATCTACCTTTTTTAATTTTTCATCTTCCTCTTCCATGTCTTCTTCCTCGCCTTTTTCTCTTCTACTTCCTTTTCCTCATCTCTGTCATTTTTACTTACTTTGTCATCTTCCCTTTTTTCTTTGTTGTCTTCCTCTTCTTTGTCATTTTAATTTACTCTATTCTCTTTGTCATCTTAGTCTTCTTCCTCATCTTCTCCCTCTTCTAAGTCTGCCATCTTTCTCTTTTTTCCCCCTCATCTTTGTTGTCTTTCTCGTTTTTCTTGTTCTCCCCGTTACTTCCTCTTTGTTGCCATCTTGCGCTTCTTTGTCATCTTTCTCTTCTTCTCTTCATCTTCATCTTCCTCTTCAGTATTTATTTTTCTTCTTATACTGACGAGTTATTCGTCTTCATAATTATCTTCAGTGTTTTTGTCTTCCTTGTTATCCTCTGTCATTTTTCTGACATCATCTTCACCATCTTCTTTGTTTTTTTTAAATGAAGTCCTCATTGCAAAACAGATCTTCTCCTCTGAGCCGCTGTATGTAATCATGTTTCATAATTCATGTTTTAAGCAAGAACCATGGGCTGTCGAGACTGATATAGTCTGAGTCTGGTTTGCTTTAAAGGAGACATGATTGAAAATGTCGAAATCTGATGTCTCTTGTTATGTCTTCAGGTATATCGGGAAGTCGGACTCCATCACTATCAGTGTGTGGAACCATAAAAAGATCCATAAGAAACAGGGAGCGGGATTCCTGGGATGCGTACGACTCCTCTCCAACTCCATTAACCGACTCAAGGACACAGGCTGTAAGTGTGTGTGTATGATTGGCTCAGAAACAGTCTGTTAGTGTGTGTGTATAATTAGCTCAGACAACATCGGTCTAATGTGTGTGTGTGCGTGTGCGCGTGTGTAAAACTGGCTCAGGCAGATTTCAAGTGTACTTTTGTGTGTGTATAATTGGCTCAGTATGTACTACAATGGCTGTGTGTGTTAAGTGGGCAAACTTTAAATAAAACACACAACAACAATGTTTTTGGACAAAATAATATATCTTACTTTGGCTGAAGACCACCGTCTGTCTCAGGTAGAAGACGTCCTGTTATTTGTGTGTCACTTTCCTGTCGGCTGCACAAGAACCTGTGTTTTTTGCTGGTGGACTACAGTAAGTCAGTATGTTTAGGGTACGAGTCTGTCTGGCTGCGTTCCAGCCCCACGCTTGTGTTTAAGACAATTTTAAAAGCAGGCTTTCCCTAGAAACCCTCCAGCGTGACCACTGTCCTGGATAAGCACAGGAAACCCACAGCTGGAAATGATTCAGTTCACCATTTCCTGTTGCACCCCTTCTGTCTCTCCGCCATCATTCTTTCTCTGTCTTTTCTCATTCTCACTCTTTATCTGTCTCCAGTTCAGTCTGTCAGTAATAATCACGGTCTTAAGTAGGAAATGATTATTTAATAGAAATTATTTTGTTCTTAGATTTTTTTTTTTAGTTAATATAAATTCACAGAAATATCACATCTTGCTTTTCTGATTCATTTTCATCTGTTTCCTCTTCCTATTTGTCACGATCTTCCTCAGCTTCTTCCTCTTTTTCTTTTTCTTGCTCTATATGTATTTATGTATATTATGTATTTCTATATATATTTTTGTATAAAATATATATATATATTCATATAGTTCCTATTTCAATGTCTATTTGTTACAGCTAGTATTTTTTCATAATTTATAAATGTTGTGTATGTTTGGTATATATACAGAAATGTGTATCTAAATATATAATTTTTTTATATATTTCTATATATATATATATATTATCAAATTTGTTTTTTTCAAGTTGAAGATTGTGTGTGAAGTATTTGGAGTGTAACTTATTTGTCGTTACAATTACAGTAACTTTACAAAAATGTATAGTTTTTGACTATATCATAATATAAAAATAGCCAAAATTGGGCTGATAAAATTATAAGCTGCACAATGTACCAATGGCCACTGTATTAATATCTGTCAATAGTACAGTTTTTCATAATTTATAAATGTTGTGTATGTTTGGTATATATACAGAAATGTGTATCTAAATATATAATTTTTTTATATATTTCTATATATTTTTTATTTCGTTTCGATAATGTCTATCTGTTTAAATATATATTAATATAATATATATATATAAAAATGTATAGTTTTTGACTATATCATAATATAAAAATAGCCAAAATTGGGCTGATAAAATTATAAGCTGCACAATGTACCAATGGCCACTGTATTAATATCTGTCAATAGTACAGTTTTTTTCTTTTTTTATTACGAAAGTACATAAAATGCATGGTGTACTGGTGACAGCTGCATTATTAAATATTATTAGATAGTTTTCATAATTGTTTAGTAAAAAAAAAAAAACTTTTTGGTTATCGTAACTGGTCTGGTTAATTATTTTTATTAAAAAAAATAATAATTTTAATCATTTTTGAATTGCCATTGTTGCCTATCAGTGTATCCCTAGTCTTTAGTAAAAGTTACATTCAGCCATAAAACCATCGTCATCATTCTTCGCAGGTGTTTGACCATATGAAGGAGTTTAAATGTGAGTGGAGTGTGTTAGGATGGGTGAACGCTCCTCCAGTCTTGTTTAGTCTAGCTGTGCATCCTGATCTGACTGAGTGTGTGTGTGTGTGTGTGTGTGTGTGTGTGTGTGTGTGTGTGTCTATGTGAGTGTGAGAACAGATAGGGGCCTCTCTAATGTCTGCAGGCTACTTGTTATTCCTGTCTCCCTCTTTCCGGCAATGACAGAGAGCCCCAGCGTGTTTCTGGAAGCGTCTCACTCCTATCAGCACATCTACAGTCTGAGAGGAATAAAGCAGCCTCTGTGTGTACACACACACACACACACACACACACACGCTGATACAGAGTGCTGCAGTGTGTGACCTCACACATGAAATGTGGAGCATTTTAGGCTGTTTTTTAAGTCTCAGATGGTTCGCAGAGCGAGGAGGTCAGAGGTTATGACACAAATGCCACGCAGGCTCTTTGGTTTCTCAACCTTTTTCTTTTTCCTGACACTCTTTTTTTTTCTCTTTCATTCATTTACAGATCAGCGTTTGGACCTGAACAAGTTGGGGCCCAATGACAGCGATAACGTGAGGGGACAGATAGTAGGTGAGTCACAAGCTTTGCTCGTTTGGAGGAATTGACCTGTCAGGAATTTGCCACATCTGCCATTTATCACGTGAGTCACACCATCTTCAAAGCTTGTCGCTAATGATGGTTAAACCCACGCATTTACTTTCGACGCCCTAAAAACGTCCCTGGTTTGGGAGCAAAGGAGGAAAAACGTGCTCATTCTGTCTGATTTATCTGTTGCGTTTTGTTATTCCGTTGTGATTTTCTTTCATGCTCTCGAAGAGCCGCATTGTTCCTTCATCAAGAAAGGGTTTTGTGGGGTGGTGATGTATTTGCGCCCCGGGATGCACGTCCCATGGCCACACCACAGTTTTTACAAGCAGCCATTCATCAGAAGATGAATGCTTTCCCATGGCCGAGAGTTTCAAACAACCCTCTTACATGCCTGTATGTCTTCATGTCACGTCAAGATTTGCGTCACATATACGTTTTGATGAGTCACATGAATGTAAGCAAGTAGTTATTAACCCCAACCCTAAGGCAAGCTTTACTATTACTATAGCTTATACTAAACACTTAGAACAAACTCCTAAGCCTAAATATATATATCTTATTGCACACTATTTGTATAAAAATATGGTATATTTGTGTCTGCCAATATTATAATAATAATTATTATTATCATTATTATTATGAAAATTTTTAATTGATCTTTTTTTAAATGCATTAATTTATTAAATGCATAATTTTTTAATTGATTTTTTTAAATGCATGATCTATATCGGTTTCTGCAATTTTTTTTCCAGTTTTTTAGAATTACTTTTTTTCTATTTAAAATTTATTATTTATTAAAAATACAGTATCTGTATCTGACAATATGGGTTGGGTTTTTTACTTAATCTTTTTTTTAAATGCATTATATTATTAAATGCACTATTTCTTTAATTCATTTTTTAATGCATGCAAATATTGTTATTTATTTATTTATTTTTACCATTTTTTAAAATCACTTTTTCTCTTTAAAATAGATAATTTATTAAAAATGCAGTATCTGTATCTGACAATATGGGTTGGGCTTTTTTAATTTCTCTTTTTTTTTATGCATTATTTTATTAAAGGCATACTTTTTTTTACATTAATTTTTTAATGCATGATCCATATCTGTATTTGCAAATACTGTTTTTTTTAACCAGTTTTTTTAAATCACTTTTTTTCTATTTAAAATTGATAATTTATTAAAAATGCAGGATCTGTATCTGACAATATGGCAATATTTCAATGCGTGATCTATATCTGTATTTGCCAATATACTTTTTTGATCCCTTTTTAAAACAAAATTTTAATTGATAAATTATAAAACAGTCTCAATTGGTGTCCTGTATATGTGTTTTTTTAATCAATCGGTTTTCAAATTGACTATTAGTATCTAATAAAATAACAACATTCCAACATTTTTAAAAATGTATGATACATTTCAAAAACACATACATGCATACATACACCCCAAAACGGCAATATCTATGCTATGCGTGTCACTCATCTTGGCATTGCTGTCACATTGTCTCTGTCAATCCATGACATACGAAACTATCACAGATGGGACTCATCTAACAGCCTGTTTATGTGTGTGTGTGTGTCAACAGTTAGTCTTCAGTCCAGGGACAGGATAGGCACCGGAGGGCCAGTCGTGGACTGCAGTCGTCTGTTTGACAACGACCTGCCTGATGGGTATGTGAAATAACTCTTTAAAAGCAACTAAATGAGTGCTTAAATATAAACAGTGTTTAGCATTAGCAGATACTGAACAGTAGCAGCCAGCGTTCTTATCCAACCCCTGTGTTTGTTCCTGTGCCATGTGCGTGTGTCTGTCTGTCTGTCTGTTCGTCTGTATGAATGTCTCTTTGTGTTCTTTCTGCAGCTGGGAGGAGAGGAGAACTGCATCTGGCCGGATCCAGTATCTGAATCATATCACACGCAGCACCCAATGGGAGAGACCTACCAGGTGGGGCCAGGTTTCCTTTGTTGTAGTCCCAGTTCACTTTTTATTTATTTCTTATTATCTATTTTATTTTCTTATTTTTTTATTTTACTTTTATTTTTATTTTATTTTATTTAAAACTTTTCTTTGTAGTTTATTTATTCATTTTTATTTTTTATTTGTTTTATTTTGATTTTACTTTTGATTTTATTTATTTTGATTTTATTTATTTTTTTTCTAATTTTATTTAGTTATTTATTTTTGTTTTACTTTTTATTTTTTAGTTTTTAGTTTGGTTAACCAAATGGTTTTGCAGACTGAAGCAAAGTCTTGTGGGATAAAGGCATTTTGGCTTAACCCAAATTACTGTCCAGGTCATTGGGTTTGAGGTGGTTTTGCTGAATAGGACAGTGATTATTGTCTATGAGTGTATACCTGTGTGCCGCACAACAGGAAAATGTGCTTCGGCCACATCTGTCTTCTTTGCCATCTCAGACACTGACCCAAATTTATCCAGAATACAGCTGAAAGATATACAGCAGCGTCCCCACTTCATGAATTTTTAAGGAAACACTCAACCATAAAGACCAAGAAACATTCCAGGCAACATTCCAAGACGAAGATCTAGAAAAAACGCTGGTCTGGACTGCGTTTCCCAAACGCTTTAGTCTCTACGATCTACTTATGCTTACGATGCATTTGGGAAACTCAGCCCAGGACAGCGTCTCCAACATAAATGAATTTAGCTCAAATAATAGGAGATGTGTGAAAATATTTTTTCGTTAAGTGTATTTAGGGGTTGAACGACTTCAGATTTTTCTAAATCGACATTTATGTGATAAAAGTAGAGTCGACGTCAACAAGTTGCTGATGACGTCATTAATGAACAAATAAGCCTGAAACTTGAGCTGAGACTCGAACACCTTGTGCACAGCTATGGCATATGACACAGTGCTGCCCACAGGGCTATTGCTCCTATAACAGCTCATTTTTATCAGTTATTTTGTCTTTGGGTCATTATATTTCTCACAGATTTCTGCTCGTTCTAAATCAGATACAGATAAAGTAGCACAGTAAAGATTACATTCATATGAATGTGAGAGCGATTGCGTGTGTGAATGAATTCTACCTGGCAGCGTCTCTCTACTAGTAGTGAAGCTGTGTGTTTTAGTTACTAAAAAAATGCTATAACTTTTCAGTTTCTGAGCTATATTATTGAGAAATCACAGAAGAGGGTTGACAATACATTTCCGCTCTGCGCTACTGAATGATTCTGTGTGCGCGATGTGTGCGTGATGTACGAGCTACTGTCTGTAGCCTATGTGTGTGTGTTACAATGCAGCAGGGCATTAGATTAGAACGGCGATTAACTTTCCTGTACAATCAACTGTTTAAAACGTGCATTCTCCCGTTCAATTTTGAGCATCCAGATGGTATTATCACACGTCATGTGGAGCGCTTTCGGAGCATGCATTTATTTGTCATTTTAACTGTTTAAATTCGTAGCGTAAATGTGGACTTCAAAGATTTCTATATCAAGCTTAAAGGGGTCATCGGATGCCCATTTTCCACAAGTTGGTATGATTCTTTAGGGTTTTAATGAAAAGTCTATAACATACTTAAAATGTAAAATTTTAAAATTAAAATTTCTCAATGGTAGTGTAAAACAACGCCGTTTTTAACCTGTCAAAAACAGCTCTCATCTAGGGATATGCCGGTATCAAATTTTCATGTTGCGGTTAATTGCTAATGCTTTTATCACGGTATACGGTATTATCACGGTATTGAAATTTAGTTTTAAAAAAGTGCTGTCATAATACAGTATAACAGGTTTAATAACTTTTTTCTTATAACAAAAATAACTGAACATTTAAATGCAATAAAGCAATACAGAAAAATGTATAAAGCTAAAAGTTTTACACAGATTAAAGTGCAAAAGAACTATAAAGACCAATAGGTATCCCTTTACAATAAGACCTCATTAGTTAACCTTAGTTAATGCATTAACATTCACAATGAGCAATAGCTACATTTGCTACAGAAGTTATTAATTATTAGTTATTAAGTCTTAGTTCATGTTAGCTCATTAAATAACACAGTTGCAACTTTCGATTTTAACAACATGTTATTAAATATTAGAATACCTAAGATTAATTCATGTTCAGAAGAATTTTTCATTGGCAGTTTGTTAACTAATGAATTAACTAATGTTAACTAATGAAGACCTACGCCATCTGCTGTCAGAGAGTGAAAGTGCGCTTTCATCCAGAGCGTCTCTCACATGTTCCGCCATGTGCTTCTCGTCCCTGCTTATTTACATCAGTGCGCATGTTTCTTTCACTCAGCATACAGTGGTGTTGTGCATTTTGACCAGTTGATGGGAAAAGTATTCTTAAAATGCATTCAAAATTCTGAATAACTTGTAATATATAATTATTCACGGTATTTAGAAGAGCCCACGATAACAATACCGTGCATATTCATTACCGTGATATATCGCATTACCGAATACCGGCACAAGTCTACTCTCATCACAACGACCCGTTTTGGTGCATGTCCCTTTCAATGCTAATGAGCTCTGCTCACCCCACCCCTCTCTTCCATGGGGTGATGAGCCGTTCTTTGAGACGGTAAACTTTAGCCGCATTCATCGTGAAACTTGCTAACTAGCACACAATTAGGAAAGGCAGTTTGCAAAGACTGTTCATTAAAAAAAACGTATACTCGCATCTTCTGGAGGTGAAGCTGGATCACAAATGATTTGTACGAAGATAAACGCATTTAGGTAGATCGGGGGCGCATTCCCTTCAAAACAAAAGTAATCCACTGCGTCTTCAGCGGCTCAGATGTCATGAGTAAATGACGACAGCTATGTTCATTATTACCTCCAACAACAAAACACCTCAGTCGCTTAGGAGACATTCTTGTCTACATCTGCTCCGGCGTCAAACAATGGCGGACTGTCTACAGCTCACTCAGGGCGAGTCTAAGGTAAAACGCTAGTGTCAATCAACAATCGTGGGAGGGGCCTGGGTCTGTGTGACGTCACACAGCCAAGAATCTGAAAACTGCTTGATTTGAGAAAGGGGATATTATTTATAGGGATTAAAAAAAAACACTGGGTGGATTTTTATCATTATAGGGAGGTTGTGTACACACACTGCCAACACACATTTATGTTCAAACAACATGTAAAAGTGAATTTTGCATCCGATGACCCCTTTAAAGCATCATGGCAGAGCATTAAAGTAGACCAATCGATTAGTCAACTAGTTAGTGCAACTGTCCTCTATTTTATTCCAAAAACACCCATTTACTCTTTTGTTTCTACTCTACAGCCTCTATTTTTCTAGTCTTTCCTCTAGACTGTGGGGATTTGGTTCAGTTCAGCCATAAGCACGTTAGTGAGGTTAAATGTCGACACTGGGCGACTAGTCCTAGTGTGCAGCACGTATTACAATTCACAGCCACTGAAGCTCTTGAAACACCATTTTGGTTCTGACGTTGCTTCCAAAGGCTCGGATGTGTTGAAACGAAGTGGAACAGAGGGAATATTGAAAGCGAGTACAGGCTGTGTTTATGCGCTACATGATTCAGCACTCTGTCCTCGTTCGGTGAGCTCGTGTTGCCAGCCGCTTCACGGCTGAGCTGCTGTTGCACTTAGATGTTTCCACTTCACAATAACAGCACTTACGGTCGACCTGGGCAGCTGGAGCCGGACAGAAATTCACTCCCTTGTTTGGAGAGGTTGCAGGTCTGCGACTTTGTCACGTTGAAAGTCACTCAGCTCCTCGCGGCTCTGCTTGCCAGTGTTTGTCTACAGAGACCGCAGGGCGCTGACACCGTTACATTATTCATTTAGTATCCAAAGCAGCTTTACATTTTGTACTACTGAGATTTGAACCTCACACCAAAAGGTCACACTATTGTGTGCTTGGGTTTCCACAGCTAATACCTGTTTGTATTGTTTTAATATGAATCTGTAACCCAGCAGAGCAACCAAATTGTTACATGAGCCTACTGAAACAACAGCATAAACCAGCCTAAAGGCCCGTTCACACCAAGGACGATAACTATAAAGATACAGTTCTAAAAATCGTTCTCAATATTAAAGAATAGCAGAGTCCACACTACAACTATAACGATAAAGACAAAGAGAAACGATATAGTTGGAATCACTTTCAAAACGATTTTTTTCCAGCTGATGAACGATAAAAAACTGACAGCCAATCAGAATCCATCCTGCTGTAACGAGCTCGAGAATTTAAAGCGCAGACGCGTCTGTGCTTAGAATAAACAGAATATATCGTTCGCTGGTGTGGACACTAATATTGTTATCTTTATAGTTATCGTTCTTGGTGTGAACGGGGCTTAATACGATTTGCTGGTCTTAATCTGGTCGTTTGCCTGGTTTTAGAAGGATATTCAGACGTTTTTCAGCTGGTTAAGCTAGGTGACCGATTCAAATTAGTTTTATTTATTTATGTTTTATTTCTATTTCTATTTTTATTTTATTTATTTTTTTGCTTTTTATTATGATTTTACTTTTATGTTTTACTTCTGTTTTTATTTTATTCTGTTTTTTTTTTATTATGATTTTACTTTTTATATTTTATTTATTTTTATTTAAAAAAGTAATTATTTTATTCATTTTTACTTTTTAATTTTTCATTTATTTTCATTTATTGTAAGTTTATTTTTTGTTTTTGTTTGACTTTATTACATTTTCTTTTTTATAAATATTTTTGTATTTTTGTTAGAGGTGCAGATGGTTTGCAAACTGAAATAAAGTCTTGTAGGAGGATCAAGGTATTTTGGCTTGCCTAAATTACTTTCCAGGCAATTGGGTTTGGCGTAGTTTTGTTGAATAGGACAGACTAGCCTAAGGTGGCTTGATGTCTGATCTGTTGGCTGGGTTTAAAGGGATTTTTTTTTTTTTTTTAGTTTGTCAAGCTAATCACCAACTTAGCCACTCTTTCTGGGAGACCATTTTAAACCAGTTAAGAACAGCAAACTAACTTTTGGCTGGTTTCATTACTTTTTTTTTTGCCAGCAAAGTCCAAACCGTGTAGATAGGACGATGTAAATAGACTTCATTTTGTAATTTCAGAAAAAAACTCAATCTGGAAACTAGAAGGTGTTTTCAAGAACTAAGATGTTTCATCATTCCAATATTTATGATAATATTTATTTTAAAAATGCAATGTAATCTTTGGTTCGTTTGAATTTCACATTTACATTTTACTTACACATTTATCAAACACTTTTATTCAAGGGACTCAAAACTTTACATTCAAAACTTTGCCTGGGAATCGAACCCATGACCTTAATGTTGCTAGCACCAAACATTTCAACTATTTTAATGTAGTCTGTTGTCCCTCATTTCCTCTTTCACATGCACAGGCCTGCGTCTGAGTACTCGAGCCCCGGCCGGCCACTCAGCTGTCTGGTGGATGAGAGCACGCCCATCATGACGCCCAACGGGGCAGCAGGCATACCTGCGGATGACCCCCGGGTGCAGGAGCGGAGGGTTCGCTCTCAGAGACACAGAAACTACATGAGCAGGACTCACCTACACACACCGCCCGACCTGCCTGAGGGATACGGTTCGTTCAAACACACACATACACGTCAGTTCTTCCATTAATACTGGCCAGCTTGCAAAGGTCAAAAATGCACCCTGCGCACACACACACATATGCACTTGCACTGGAAATTTGTGCTGCAGCAGGAGTAATTAAAACGTCTCTTGAGCTGTAGAAAAGGAGCTCGTCTGAAATATCTCCGACGTGCCGTCAGCGCCAGCTGCAGGGTCAGACGGGTGACCTGGAAATCCCGCTATGTCTGTGTGCGTGTGTGTGAGTCCGTGGAGAGATTCAGAGGGCAGAGGTTATAGACACAGGTTAGACAGAGTTCTGTGTGCTGTCCTCTGCTCAAGTAGCTGAATGTGGGTCTGTAGACATGAGATGCAGATCAAGTTCATGTGTGGAACAGGGACTTTATGAGATGGGCTGGGTGATATATCAGTATACATAAAAAAATAAATAAACAAATTCACTGTCAATAATAAACTTTCAAGTATTTTTCTGATATTTAACCCACATCTTGACGATCTGGTTTGTTGTGAGTGGCTCAAAAATTTCGGCTAACACTTTAGTTTAGGGACCGATTCTCACTATTAACTAGTTGCTTATTAGCATGCCTATTATTAGCATATTGGCTGTTTATTAGTGCTTATAAAGCAGATATTCTGCATGACCATATTCTACATCTCTAATCCTACCCAATGCCTAAACTTAACAACTACCTTACTAACTATTAATAAGTCCCTCATTTCCTCTTTCACATGCACAGGCCTGCGTCTGAGTACTCGAGCCCCGGCCGGCCACTCAGCTGTCTGGTGGATGAGAGCACGCCCATCATGACGCCCAACGGGGCAGCAGGCATACCTGCGGATGACCCCCGGGTGCAGGAGCGGAGGGTTCGCTCTCAGAGACACAGAAACTACATGAGCAGGACTCACCTACACACACCGCCCGACCTGCCTGAGGGATACGGTTCGTTCAAACACACACATACACGTCAGTTCTTCCATTAATACTGGCCAGCTTGCAAAGGTCAAAAATGCACCCTGCGCACACACACACATATGCACTTGCACTGGAAATTTGTGCTGCAGCAGGAGTAATTAAAACGTCTCTTGAGCTGTAGAAAAGGAGCTCGTCTGAAATATCTCCGACGTGCCGTCAGCGCCAGCTGCAGGGTCAGACGGGTGACCTGGAAATCCCGCTATGTCTGTGTGCGTGTGTGTGAGTCCGTGGAGAGATTCAGAGGGCAGAGGTTATAGACACAGGTTAGACAGAGTTCTGTGTGCTGTCCTCTGCTCAAGTAGCTGAATGTGGGTCTGTAGACATGAGATGCAGATCAAGTTCATGTGTGGAACAGGGACTTTATGAGATGGGCTGGGTGATATATCAGTATACATAAAAAAATAAATAAACAAATTCACTGTCAATAATAAACTTTCAAGTATTTTTCTGATATTTAACCCACATCTTGACGATCTGGTTTGTTGTGAGTGGCTCAAAAATTTCGGCTAACACTTTAGTTTAGGGACCGATTCTCACTATTAACTAGTTGCTTATTAGCATGCCTATTATTAGCATATTGGCTGTTTATTAGTGCTTATAAAGCAGATATTCTGCATGACCATATTCTACATCTCTAATCCTACCCAATGCCTAAACTTAACAACTACCTTACTAACTATTAATAAGCATCAAATTAGGAGTTTATTGTCGTAGTTACTGAGAACTGGACTTTAAAATAAAGTGTGACCAACTTTCATCTACGGTATTGTTTATTAGTATTGTTAGTATTGTATTGTTCACCATTTTACCATTTGTGACCCTGGACCACAAAACCAGTCAAAAACTCAGAAATTGAGATTTATACACCAACTCAAAGCTGAATAAATAAGCTTTCCATTGATGTATGGTTTGTTAGGATAGGACAATATTTGGCCGAGATACAACTATTTGAAAATCTGGAAAATCTGAGGGTGCAAAAAAATCTAAATATTGAGAAAATCGCCTTTAAAGTTGT